GGACTAAAAGTGAGAATTATTACCTAAAAAATGTCACGGAATACTAATTTAGTACCTACCCAAAGTATTACTATAAGAAGATGATATTTTATTTTTCAATAAAACTAAAATTAGATAAACTTTGTCTCTTTTTGTGAAAATTAAATAAAAGTGTGGATTATTTTGGGATTTGATGATTGTTGAGATATATTAATTATGTTCAAAATCCTTAGATCTATTGATAGATGATGATTTAAAATTTGTGCATCGATAATATAAGAAAAACCTATTTATATTAAGAAGTACTCCAATCTTACTAGTGTTAATTGTTAAAAATCTGCTATATAAATGTAATGTATTCCGTGGTTGGCAGGTTTCATACCTCAAGAGATGACAAAGCTCAAACAACTAGAGGTGGTTTGATCTGAAACATAGTTTTATAAGCGGTCTGATACCGAATGAGTTTTGCAACATTTTACTTAAATTTGTCAACTTGAACTGTAATCACTTATATTACTGTTTAGATAATAAGATAACTTGTCCATCCTTATCAAAATTCAAAACCAATTCTATTTATGTGAAGATATTAAGATTGTATCCAATTAATAAATTATTATGTGTGGGCGGGATTTGAAAGCCAATCAACATTTATATTGGTAAAGTGTATTTATGGCACATATATTAGACTAATAATAACTATGCAGGAGAGTATATTTTTCAAGGGGTTGAAATTTCCAATTATGTTTGTGATTTGGGTGGCAATTTTGCCTCCAAAACTTATAACAACTTCGATAGTTTTTTTAAGCAGAAATTTATTAAAATTTTATTAAGAGTACAAAATGATGGTGAAAGAAAGCAAGTGAAACAAAGAAGCTAGTGAAACAAAGGAATCACTAATGAGTGAATTATTCAAAAGGGCCCATCAATCCACCACCATTCAAAGCCCTAAAGTAGACGATAAGCTCCCCGCAGAATTGTATTGAGTTGCCCGGAAAAGATGAAATCCCAAAAAATCTATAGGTTAATTAGAGCAACCCTATATATGTGACAACCAACTTTTTAGCATTGAGACGAGCACTCCATCGAGGTAGCAATCTAGAACTGGCTGAGTCCCATTCAGTGTCAGCAACGCGGTCTAGTAACTCACGATCAGAAAGCAACCTCTGAATAGGCGTAACCTCAATATCTTTTTCACATGAAGCATTATATTCCAAGACTTCAATAGAAACCAATCCATCCGCTAATAGAGGTTCATTATTGACAGGTGAAAAACAAACTCGTAGAGGAGTAGTTTCAATAATACCTGTCACATCTATCTCTTTGGTTTCAAAAGTAAATGTCCCCTGAGACGTATCCCTATTCACAACAGCACTCCCCGAAATGTTATCCGATACATAAATAAGTCCAAGATAATGCAAATCTTCTTTGAAGATTAAAGAGGAAATAGATTCTGTGTCTGTAGAAGATGATCCCTTATCCGAGCAAACAAGCCCAAAGTCCACACAAGGCGGCTTCTTGAAAACTATCAAACCTTCCCATTGGCTCAACAAAGTTGAAGAGACATCACCCAAATCACGTTCAATTTTTTTAGGGACAACAAAGTTCATCAAAGTACTTGCTTTTGTAATCCCCATAAGAAATAAATTTATCCCTCGTCCAATCCATCCCTCGGGAATAAAAAGAGAGTCACAACCTTTCTCAATTATCCGGATAAATCCTCCAAAGAAATTAGAATCATAAAAAACAATTAGGGATTTATTCAGCTCCAAACTAGTACCTAATTTGCTACCCAAAAAGATCTTGAGTATGTAATCCTTCAACCAATTAACCCTAGCTAAATCGAGAGTGATAAAAGACGATATTCCATAATGTTTCGTTTCAGAAATGAAAATAGTAGTGCAGTCAATAATTTTGAAGTTAAAACATTTACTTTCAAATTAAATATCAAACTCATCATTTTCCGTTCGAATCAAATCTGATATGGAACCATTCTGGCCATCAATATCCACCGTTGGAAGCTTCATATCAGCCTGCCTCTTTGTTGAATCCCTCTGTCGCAGATCTCTTTGACGCGGTCGGATATTCCCTTTGCATTTCTAGTATTGTTCTGGCCTAGAACTCCAATTTGTCTGGCTGGCTCCAAATGATGTGCTGCAAGACGCCTAATGCTTATGCTGCGATGGACACCGTCCTGCATGGGTGTCTGAATCGAACCTTGATTTGCATCCAATCTCCCATCACCAAAGATTACTCTGCCTAAGCCTAAGATGGCGACAACCCCGTCGCCGGTCACCGAGGAGTGCGTACCCCTTACCAGCCAGTTGATTCCCTCGGAAGTTGCAGAGCATCTCAGATCTGCCGCAGGTGTCCAAGCTTTAGTAGCAGGGCGATCGATCGGAAATGACATGTCCCTAAAACCCTGCGCCACCATCCCCCTCAATTTGATTCCTCCCTGCATTTGGATCGTCTTTCATTTTATCTAACAACTTCGATAGTTTATACAATATAAAGATAACATACAAATAACATCAATAATGTTGATAACAACAATGATGATGATAATGATGATGATGATGATGGCGGTAATGATGATGACGTCGTTGCTGATGACGATGACAACAACAACAACAACAACAATGAAAGTAATAAATCATGTCTGAAAATTTTTGATTTGGTCTGAATCTTTGTGGTTTGGTCTGAATGTTTCTGATTTTATCTGATCGTGTCGGAATCTTTCTGATCTGATTTGATATAATTTTTTATGATTTGATTTGATATGGTTTGAATAAAACATGAATACGTAATAAGCAATAAGAATAAGACAAACAAAACATCTCCTAAAGCATTATCTCCAATAACTTGGGAGCAAGCAAAAAGAGTAGAAGGTACATTGTGTTGTCATAGTTCTCTAGACTTGAGAAAGAACTCAATGTACAATTCTTGTAAAAAGTATATTATTAATGTTTGGTATCATTCGATATGCACGACGATTAATCAACAACTGCTGAGACTAGCTAGTGAATATCAAGACAAAGGAGAACCCATCAGCCATGCTAACAACGGTGATGACACGAGATTAACAAAGGTGAGAGACATAGTCGGAATGCTTGTTCCAAATACAATTAGAAGTCGAGAATTTAAATTTTTAAGAAATATCTAGTTACAAAGATTCTACAAGAAATTATAATTCAAATCCTTCCAATAAATTTCCTAGTAGAATTCAAATCCTTCCTATAAAGATTCTGCAAAGCTAGTGACTGATCAAGAAAGTTTTTTCACATATAGGAGTCATCTTCCTCATGCCCACTATTGAAGATTCTTAAACCTTCATGGTACCTTTCTCTAAGATTTCTCCCACCTAATTTTGATCCTATATACAAAGAGGCTTGTCTATATTTCTTTCATCTATCACAAACACAACCTTGAAAATATAGTATATCCTCAATTTGTGAAGTGTTTTTTGACATATTTTAATTAGAGCTTGTAAGGTATCTTCTACCTATCCTTGAGACCAATGCAAGTAATTTCTTTCATATCAACTCCAAACAAATCTTTAATTCCCCAACATGAAGCATGTGATATATTTCTAGCAAGATTGAAAAGGTTACTTTAGACTATACAAGACAATAAATGTTTAGAGTATGGTTAATGAATCAATAGCATTTGTTAAATGTTTGTTTGGAAGGAAATAAATGCAAAATCTCTCATGATAGTAGAAGGTAACCAATGACATCAATTTTTTGGTGTCTTGCTTCTCTTATGATTACCATGCCTAAACAACTTACAACCTTAGCTAAATAGTATCCTAACTTAATTGACACATGAATAGGTATGACAAGAAGTGTCTTAGCTAAATAGTATCCTAACCTTATCATAACTTACAACCTTACCATGCCTAATCAATTTTTTGGTGTCTTGCTTCTCTTATGATTAAATGCAAAATCATGTCATTTTCAAATTATCAAAATTATTATTCTCTCTATTAAAAAATAGAGAAAATTAGCCTAACTAAAACGCATTCATTTTTTCAATCTTTGACCCCATTACTCTTTTTCCAATATCATATTTAAATTCATTATATTTAATCAATAAAATAAATAAATAAATTTTATGGAATAATATGCCCTTAGATTGTTATTATAAAACACTAACTTTCTTCTCATTTCCTCAAATCATACACACAAGTTATTCGCCTCTAGTCTCCTGTTGCCCCAAGCTGCAGCCGCCTCCCACATCACCGCGGCCATCCCCATGCTTGCGGGCATACCCGTTGCCGCCGTCGTCCCCATGCGCCTCCGTCATCTCCATGTTTACTCGTTGCAGCAGTCCCCATGCATGCTCGCCACCCCGCACCCGTCCCCATGCTTGTGCGATGCCACCATCTCCATGTCTGCTCGCCAAGGCCGTCCTCATGCCAGCCCACTGCCTCCGTCTCCATGCTTGGTTGCCACGGGCATCAAGTAACATGTGCGTCTGTCGAACGGCCGCCGCCACCATCCAACCGCACAAGGTTGGATACGAACCCAAGGTTGAAGACGGTGTGCAGCGAATTCTAGGATAGTGGGTAGTGAACGCAAAGAGTCATTTGTATTTAATGCAGTGAATATCACAAGAAATGCAGTGGTTATGACAAGAAGTGCAATGATATATCAAGAAATAGAGTGATATGACAAGAAGTGCACTAATGTGAAGCATTAATATTGACATAAAGTGCACTTATCAAATTTAAAAAAAAAGAACTCTAAATTCTAAACATTTGTATAATCTCATGCCACAACTTCGGCACGAAGTGCAGTAACACCGGCGTAAAGTGTATTAGATTTAACTAGACGTAAAAACTAAAGTTATCAAATCTACAAGGGAAAAAAGAATGATAAATTCATAACATTTTCATAATGCTTTACAAAAAAATTCATAATATCATGTAGTAACGCCGACATGGAGTGCACTAAATGTTGTGAAGTAAGCATGCATAAAGTGTGGTATTTTTAGACGAAAGTAGTGCAAAATGCACATTTTTATAATAAGGGTATTTTTTTCCTTTAACATTTTAATCATACAAAAGTCTATAAAAATAGCTAGTCATAAACTCGATATGTTTTAGTCATATCCCAGGATCACGAGCTCAAAAGAATCTTACACGAGGTAGTTTCTCTGATGCAATATTTGTTAGCTAGGGAAACTCGAACCCCGGCCTCTTCCAGGATCACGAGCTCAAAGGAATCTTGTACACTCAGCCAATCACTCGTAATACAAAGTCTCGATTTAACAATATATGTCACACCCCAGACCGCATCTAAGCGCGTGTACAACCGCCGTTTGACCAAGTGACGTCACCCACAAGTCAACGTGACTTAATCATACAAGGCGTTTATGAACATAATCCATCCATACTCAGTAGTAAACATACATAACAATATCACATTTAAACTAATGAATGGCGGAAATATTCAAGATAAATCATGGGCCACAATCGGCCAAGACATGGGCTCACAGGCCCAAAATAGTTTGTAGTAAATCAAATATCCATGAGCAAGTGTTTGGTAGTTTGAAAGGAAATAAGGAAGCACGAACCATGTCTTCCTTGAATTGACTTCACCCGTAAGAAGGTGCGGGTAGCAAGCCCTAGCTTCAACCTCAAAATGGTGGGGGCCCCAAAGGGGTCAGTATAAGTACCAAGCGAGTAGCAAGCTAAATGTAGAGTAACTAAGGTTTCAAGTATAAGACCCAACCATAGGGTGATACATACACGTATAGTACTTTTCCCCAAGTCATAAAATACATATCATTATATATATACACTTGGAAATACCCAACCCGTAGGTCATTGTTTATCTGGGAAAAATCATAGTAGTCAATATCCTGAACTTAAATCCCAACCCACTCATATCCTATGAGTGTATAGGACTCCTCCTGGTCCAAATCAATCTATACATACGAGTTTGAGGACAGTACCGTCGTCCTTGGATTCTCTACCATTTATACATATGAGTTTTGAGGACAGTACCGTCGTCTCTGGGTTTCCACCATTTATATACCGAGGTTTGAGGAAAGTACTGTCGTCCAGGGGTCTCCACTGTTTATACATTTGAGGTTTGGGGACAGTACCGTCATCCCTGGGTCTCCACCATTTATACATTTGAGGTTTGAGGACAGTACCGTCGTCCCTGGGTCTCCACCGTTTATATACCGAGGTTTGAGGACAGTACCATCGTCCATGGGTCTCCACCGTTTATATACCGAGTTTTAGGATAGTACCGCCGTCCCTGGGTTCTCCACCGTCTTACTTTCACTTCTATGACCTACCGCTTATCATGCATAGATAGGGTCTATATCATAATCGTTTATCAAGACTAGACCAAGTCCTAGAGTTTAATCATGAGGTATCAAACTTACCATTTAAATATCATGTACAATCCAATTCCATGCATAATATACTTATATAGGATGTCCGGGGTGAATACCACCCCTTTCGAACCGGACCCGAACCGCATTTTTGGCGAAATCGGAAACCGTGGCAGCAGATTACCCGGCGCCGGTCATACCCTATAACCGGCGCCGGTTATGTATTAAACCTCCCAGACCGGCCAGGCAGTGGCATAACCGGTGCCGGTGCGGCCCTATGGCCGGCGCCGGTTCATCGTCTGCCCAACGGCTGCGGTCCGTTGACCCCCTGAATGATCTCCGATCGGTCCGAAAGTTTTATACAACATGTATTGGGTCTCAAACAACCATAATATTCCATTTTAACCATTCAAAACATCACATATGTTTTTATACACATTTTATACTTTTAACATGCATAATCATGTAGTATCATTCACATAAACCATCTTACTCGGGCTAATCGCATGCTTAAGTTTCTTTAAACATCATTGTGAATACTTATAACATTTCTTTAGGTAATATTATACTTAACCCAAGAGTTACAAGACATTAAGCCATCCACTCACCTCGAATGAGCTTTATGAAGTTCTACCCTTCTCAGTTGAACTTTAGCGAAACTCCGGTGAACTTTGTCTAGTTCCGGCGATTACTCAGGCGACTCTTTCAACTCTGTGAAAGTAGTAGGAACACATTAGAAAAGTTCCTAACAAGTTTTTATCATCAAAAACCCCATATCAATACAAATAACCTCTAAAAGGTTATTTTCCGGCGAACCAGACACTTTGGCTTCTAAGTCCGTTCTTGGACTTAGAACTATCTTCCAACCCCTCATTCTTCCTTTCTAAACATTTAGAACAATCCTAGGGGTCCTCCATATGCTATATAAGCCATATGATAAAATAAAAAGTAGAGGAAAAGTTATTATAAGGTTATTACCTTAATCCTTCACACTTTTCCTAACTTTTTCCTTCTTATATCTTCCTTCTTGGACCTTGTCTTCTTGAGTTCACTTGGCTATGGAGAAATGGTGTTTTGCAGGGACTTCTCTATCCTCACTTGATGGCTTGGTCGAAGTTGTGGTATGGGGGAGAGTGAAGATGACTCTTTTGTCTCAATTGAGCAATGAGTGTGGATGGGATGGTCCACCTCATGTCTTACTTTCACTCATACATCCTCTCAACACCCTCTCACCATAATGCATCCCCCTCATGTCAATTTTGAGCACAAAAAAACGTGGGATGGCCCCCACTCATGTTGGAGGTCATCCCTTTATGTCCCGAACTGTACAATCGGCTCTGAAAGTTGTATTTCTCAGATTGTTTTAATTATGTTTTATTTTATCGGCCCAAAAAATATATCACACATTCTCAACCCATATGGGCCCTTAGAATGAATATACATTCCTAAAATTTAATTTATAAGTCTCCGAAACCCATTTCGGACTGTTATCCGATAAATTACCAATATCGGTAATTGGGCCTCGTTTGACCAACCGGTCAACCCTATGCCCTTTCCATGGCCCAACTAAAATATCCACCACCATATACACATTATCTAGACCAAGATGAGTATAATATGTGGTCTCATAAATATCGGGTGGTCCCCGCTCCCGATGTGAGCCTCACGTGAAATTTACTATTCACGCACCAGTAATAATAAAAATTTACAATCTCGTAAATTCATTAACCATTTCATAAGGTTCAATACATGATTTACATAAAAGTAAATATAATTGGGGACGATGTTACAATATCACTTTGTATTATACAATTGAAATGTACATGAGATATTTTACAAGTAAATGAATAAATCACTTCACTCTTTGTACATGGGAAATTTCACTCTCACTCTCCTCTCTTAGAGGCTCTCACTCACTCAAGAGCTCTCCTTAGGGATCTTCTCTCTCATCACTCAAGGAGGCTTTCACAGCCATTCACTCTTTGTATACTAATTTCCTCAAGGTTCTCTACAACTCTCTATACACCACTACACTTCTAGATCAGTCTTCCAAGAGATGTCCACAAACTTATGTAATCTACTGGAAAGATCTAGATAACTCCTGATTTCTTCTTAGAGTTCTACAGACTTCCACACATTTTCACACGGGTATAGAGGATTTCACCCTATTATAGAAAGCTCTACAATGTTCTAGAATATTCTACACTCTTCCACACGCTTCTAGATGATTCCACACATTTGTGGAAAGCTCTAGAATATGCTAGAACATTCAATACTTCTCTGCACACATCTAGAGAATTCTAGACATCTTTGTGGTATTCTAGAGTTCTCATTAACTTCTAAATTAAGGAGGGAACCCAACAAATGTCATTTACCAACTTAAATGAGAAATAACACTCGACCACCAATAATAGCCTCACATTATGACACACCGGTCTCCGCCTTGATTGTAAGTTGCTCACCCTCAAATAAAGCTTGTATCACGTCACATGAGAAGCCACCAAGGAATTGTCATGATCTCCTTAATAGCGAGAATTGATCGACTAGACTATTTTGTCTTGCCCTTATATCTACTAATGGGACACGCCGCCGCCCGATCACCTCAATATCAGTAAAACTTTCAATACAACACACCAACAGTAGATCAAATAGCAAGACTGTACTCCGTACACAATGTTCTCATGAAGATCTCCTCTCCACCGACACTTGATCTGCAATTCATCTTGTACCGCCGTTGTTTACCAACGGAACACGCCACATGACAATCACAATATCAGGAAGACTTTCGATAGAATCCACCACTAGCAGACCAAGGCATAAGACCAAACTGAGAAACACTCACCCAATGCATTCCATCACTCTGCTCCATATATGTATGACCCAAGCTCTAAAGTGAAGTCCATCATCCCATCAGAGAGTATGATAGTGAATGCCTTTGACAACACTGCTACCATCACGGTAAGACGAAATCCATCCCCATGATGAACTCTACCGTTTCTTTACCTCCAACATGCTCGGCTCTAATACCACTGTTGGGAAAACACGAAACCCGGCCTCTTTCAGGATTACGAGCTCAAAGGACTCTTGTACACTCACCCACTCACTCGTAATACAAAGTCTCAATCTAACAATATCACTTTGTATTATACAATTGAAATGTACAAGAGATGTTTTACAAGTAAACTGATAGGTCGCTTCACTCTTTGTATATGAGACTACTTCACTCTCACTCTCTTCTCTCAATGAGGTTCTCACTCACTCAAGAGCTCTCCTTAAGGCTCTTCTCTCTCATCACTCAGAGAGGCTTTAGAAAGGTTCTCTCTCAAGGCTCTCACATAGGAATGATGAGTGTCACAACTATTTATATTAATCTCCTCGAGGTTCTCTTGAACTCTCTATACACGACTACACTTATAGTCTTCCGAGAAATTCTCACAATCTTCTCTAATCTTCTGAAAGGATCTAGATAACTGCACATTTCTTCTGAGCGTTCTAGAGACTTCCACACATTTCCACATGAATCTAGAGAATTCCACACTTCTCTAGAAAGTTCTATAATGTTCTAGAATATACTACACTCTTCCACAGGCTTCTAAATAATTCCACACCTTTCTTGAAAGCTCTAGACTATTCTCGAAAATTCAGTATTTCTCTGCACACATCTAGAGAAATATAG